TCTGTTCTTTAGCAAAGCAGGGGCGAACACATCGTTATTCACTCCTCGGTTACGAGTGCTGCTCTTCGATTTGCGTCTCTCTCGCGTCGCAGTCCGTACAATTCAGTTACGCTAGAACATCGTAGCCTATAACTGGGTAAATAATTAACGTTGTTTTGAGGCCACTCGCAGTCCGAGCGGGCGCGAGCGTGATCTATTGACATAACTAATACACCCAGCACCTCTGCTTAGGGGGACATGGACGACTCGTGGAACGGAGATCGCCGCGAGGGGGGGAGGAGGAAGAGCGAGTTCGTGTGCGCTTACGAAGGCCCTTGGAGCCGCTCGGGGGGGGGGGGGGGAGGAGGTGAAAGAGTGCACTCTGTAGCATTTTCCGAGCTGGGAGAAGAATCTGAATGAGAGAGCTTGGCGGCGCTCTGAATCATCGGCGAAGACGCGGCCATTACGACAACGAACGTCGTTGTATTATGCATTCACGTCTTCCGTGCTTACAAAAACCACCTCACAGCCACCTGTCAATGGCGCGGCTCTTCCCACCTCGTTCCGCACCCCGGCTTCTTCTCTTTGTAACTAGTGCCAGCTTACTGAGTCAACACACACAGGAAATGTCCGCTTCCCCCCCCCCCGCTCTATTTCAACCACGGGTGGTGTATGCTGTCGTATCGCACAACGCACAAAAAGCCTTATTTATATTCGGATACGCACGGGGACTCGCCCCCAGCAGCAGCAGCAGCAAAGCACTTCCTTCCGTCAGCAGAAGCATTTTTATGCACAAAGAAAGTGAGGGCGCTTGGTTTGGCCGCTGCGCTGCGTGTGGTGTTCCAAAATTCAATAATATTGTCACAACTTTGCACTTTTTGTGCATTTTTGCGAAAGCAGGGTATGTCTTTGCTGTAGAAAATCGGAGATGATGAACTCCTTAGCGAAAACTTCTATATAATGAAGTGGACAGGCGCTTAAGCTGGCATAAGTTTGGGTGAAATCCAATGCAATAATCAGCTGTTGCTTCTTGGCATTCTCCGGCCTGCAAACCCTCATTCCTCGGTATTTCAGCAGGCGACCTTGTTCGCTAGATTTTCACATATCCCCTGAGTTTTGATGAGTACTCTCTGGCCGAATGTTTGGTGAGTGGCGAGAAACTCGGCCGTTCGGCTCGCCATTCAACTCCGTACATATTGATCCTCGTCGCAACAATGGTTGGTCGATTGCGATCGATTCCATTCAATGTTGAGATTTCCTGGCCAAAGGGTCCCTTTCTCATTATACGGGGGGAATAACAGAGCGTCGTGCTGTGTGCCATGCCATCCTCACTCCATTATGCCCCTCTATGTCCCTTGGGCTTAGCGCCCTGCATTGAAGAGTGTGCCCTCACTGATGTGATATTATAGCCTCCAACACACTTCACACAGCACTCTTAACGTTGACCAGTCTTAATTGGAGGGAGATTCTCCTGAAGCATTTTGCTGAACCCTGCACCCCACATCGAAATGGTGTTTCTATTTGATTTGAAATTTTTTCACCATCTTGGGCTCATTCGCAACTAGTAGATGCAGAAAACGACGAATTACGTGAAGAAAGCAATCTTATTTTAGGACGAATAGAGCAAAATGCGGGCACAAACTAACAGTGCAAATCTTCGCTTGATAAAGAAATGTGTCGTAAAATAAAGCAAACAGCTGTGCAAGAGAGTGATAACAACGCTGTTAACAGACGGGCTGGCGACTCTATCTCACGTTTTTCGCGGGCAGCAGTGACAAGCCGGTGATGAGGAAGCGGGGGAACGGAGAGTGCAGACCGGGGAAAGTACTACATACTCATAGCCGTGCTGCTGATATCGCCATCGTTTGTTTTCCGTGTATCGTAAAAGAAAGCGGCTAGCTAGCCGATGTCGGCACGGCTCTTTCCCTGGCCTCTTCGCAAACATAAGCACCATACGAAAAAGTCTGATTCGACCAGTGGTCAAAGAACGAAAACTTTCTGGTTCAGGAGTTAAAAGCGAAAGTAGAACCCCCACAAATTTTCTTTACAAAAAAATTTCAAAAATATAGCGCGGGAGTAAGCTCTTCTTTTTTACTGGAGAGTTCCAAAGAGAGTCCGCGGATTTTATGTTCGTCTATAAGGTGTAGAGAAACGGACTCAAATATTTTTTTCAGTAAATAGCTGATTTTAAAACAAACATCTATAGCATATAGATGTTCGTTAACAAAGCTTTTATGTCGTAATCATCTCTTAAAATATGAGTCGGGCCTTTTTTGACACATTTTTCTCTCCTTTTCAGGATAATTCCCTTGAAAGCAAGAGGTTTATTTTGAGAAAAATCTAACCCCATTCAATTTTACCCTTGGGACATTTTTTCTTTGCTTCGCATGATGCCGGTATAGATTAGTTGCGATTTTGATCAAATACATCTCCCAAGATCGAACACATGTCAGCTTTTTTGCAAGCGATGCTTGATGCAAAAATTGATGACGCTGGTTTTTTTACGAAGAAGAAAGATCGTCGCAGCTTCTTCTTGAACCGAAATACTGTAACTGCGCAGCTTTGGACATCTGTCAATTATTCAGAACTAAAGAGTTGCATAACTGTCGCTATGTACTCGAAGATCTGAGGTGGTTTTAGACGTTTTTTGCTAGTCAACGACATTGTTACAGCGTTGAACACTTCTTATGTTGTTTAGGAGCAGCGACGCCATATGTCGAGCGCCATCGGGTAGCCATTGACCAGGCAGCTCTACCTTTGCTCCCGTTCTTTTCGTCTGCTCGATGAACTCGGCTGTTACCCCCCCCCCCCCCGTCTATATACGGTGGTTCCGAGTCGGTTCTGTACATCAAACTGTGACTGGCGATCTGCCACAGGCCAGCTGTCATCGTCCGTAGGTGGAGCCCCCCGCCTATACGGCAATGGCCAAGTATACTCCGCCCCCTCGGCTGACCAGTGTAGTCCGTCAGGCCTTCCCCGTGCACCAGCGTTTTGCTTTCTCTGGGGTTGTAGCCAGGGCCCCGTAAGGCCTTAGTGTTCTGTTTTGTTCCTTAGCAGTTTGCAGTTTCAAGTTCATAGCACTCTCAGTGTACTCTGTTCCTCTTCACTTCCTATTTTATGCTGCTTCTCACTTCCTGCAATGGGGGATTGGGGATGAGGTGTACATGTGACGTTTGGCGATCCCCCGTTGCATATGGCTCAATCCAGTTTTGACTAGATAAAATCGTTTTTCGTCTGTTCGTTCGTGCCGAGCCATCGCCGCCACCCCAATAGCCTTGCCCTTCGCGATTTTCGCCTTCTGCTGCTCTTCACCGCGATTTTTCGAAATTGCTCGAACCCGAGCAAACCGCTTTCTCCTCTGCCCGTAGTTGACTTTCGTACATGCTCACGGCATTCCTTTCTTGAAAAGAAATGGCAACAAACGCATTGATGCATCACAAGGTCACTCCACGCACTCATGGCGTGAGAAACACATCTCAGGCGAATCTCTTGCTGAGCTCGGCTCACTCCATACTGCACATAAAGGGATCGTTCATCCCTATTGTAGAGCCTATTCCAGGCTAAATAAACAGGCCCCTCACATCCCCATGTTTGTCTCCTCGTGTTGCTGCGAACTGTGTAAGTTGTTGACCCGGCAGAGCCGTGTGCAATACTTCAATGAGAGACTGTGTATTGAGATCAACATCGGTACCATTGCCTTTTGGGTGGGTAGATATTTGTGCTTAGACGTTGCAATTTCCAGACGTGCCTTGAATGCCAAAATAGTCCCAAAAATTTTTTTTTCTGCCACATTTGCCTCCTGTTCTTCCTTTCACTGCCTAATCTAGTGTTGCCCGACACTTTGTTGATTGAGATGCTGTGTGGAGATATCTCCTCTACGAACTCGATTGCCAATTTGCATTGTGGAAGCTTCAAAGTCGCCCTTTTCCCAGCTGCGAGTGCTAGCTTTTACGATAGTGCGATGTCTTTTGTGACGTGCTGCTCTCGATGTAAAATATCGATATTTGAGAGCATTTCGAAGCGCATACAAATGCGAAAATTCATTTTGAGTTGGAAAAAGTGTAAACTACAAACACATCGAACAAGCGCGTAAAATTAGCAGTTATAGAGTTTCTTTTTGGAGTGTTGTTTATCGGTGCTGCTGTAGTCCTGTCGCGTTCGCAGTAATAAAATGCAGTTTGTTGGTGCTCTGCTTGCTAATTGTGTTTTGTTTCCTTCCCAAATTCCCGAGTTTGTTTACACGTTGCAAAATCTGCAGTAGGAAATGCTTTGCTCCATTTTCTATACGATATTTTGCATTTTTCATCAATTTAGCTCACTCTACGCTCCGAAAAGGGGCGGTCCGAGTTCGCAAGTGCTGCTCTAGGGGCATGATTTGCGAATTTGTAAGTGGATGCATGTTTGGTGTGTTGTTGTTGACTGGAAAAACGGCAAGACACCGGTTGGCACGGCTCCTATCTGCTGCACGAACACACTCGCGGCGCCGGGACGAAGTAAGGGGCGAACTCGGGGCGCTCGGCACGGCACGTGCTCCCACGATACCATCTGTTTGTCCGGGTCCAGGTGTTTTAGCTGCTCTCGGCTGCGGTGATGACCAGCAGATGGCTCGATGGCTCCTTATTTGATAACCTCGCGCGGGCGGTGGCAGCGCCGCGACCCCGGTGCTGGCCGCGCGTCTGGCGTTTGCAGAACGCGAATATCGCTTGACTCGTCGAATTGCCCAACTGCCTTGACACCGCTTTTGTGTGTGTGCGTATGTGGACATGTCCAATTATCGTCCCATTACTCGCGAAACAGGGTTTCGGCCGCAGTAATCTGTCACCCCTCTCCCGTGTGCGTTCGCCCGCGCTTCTCCGCTCCGCGTCCTGGCCGTCGCAGTCCGAATGCCCTCTGCGGCAGCCCGCTGCCCATTCGCCGCTTCTGATTCACCTTCAGATAACATCAGCCGGCCGACTCGCTCGTCGCCAAGTTCGAAATCCGCGCCGTTCGCCCCTCTCGCTCTCTGATTTCGCTTCTTTGCAGATCACACGCGGCCGCCGTCAGACGGTTGTGCGTTCACCATCTCGTTAATTTCAAACACACAGCATGGCGGGTCTCCTGCAGTATTCAACAAGTCGAGGCAGTGAGGAGGGCTTCCACTCAGGATCCGACGAAGCAATCGACAATCTGGCCTACCAGCTCTACTCACAATTTCGAGTCGATGAAAATCGTAAGTCCACCATTTTTCGTAAAACCTGCGTTATACAGTGTGCGATTTCGCAAAACCATAGTAACGGGGGAAACTGATATTATGTCCTAAAAAGTGGTAATGTCGCCTATTTATGGCGATCATAAAGCCTGTTGTTGTTTCGTTAATTTTAACTAACATTACGCTAACACACATCAACTAGGTTAATGCTCTCGCGCGTCATAATTTTGGTCCAAGGCAACTAGGTGTGAGTTTAGCTGTGAGTGTGTGCAACGATCAACTTGCTGTAGAGAGCGTGTAGATCTAATAGCCATGAGCAGAGTGATGTTTTATAAGAGGATAGGGTGTGAGATGTCTAAGCAGGCAGTTATTGAGTGAATGCTAATTAGCTATTCGCAGAATGATCAGCGATGGGAGAGGCTAGGTGAAGGGGCACAGCGGGAGGCGATGAGAGGGTCCGCGCGAGAGTCTTAGAAAAGCTGCGCCATGCATGACCGAAGCGGCTCTGGGAGAGGGTTACTTGTATCGGCTGTGTTCAGCGCGGTGGCCGGGTGCGAAAGAGAGAAGGAGGGAGTTGTTAGGGGTAAAAGCCGGTCCCTGCTGTGCGTCAACGGCTAGTAGGCGGATCAACCGCTAGTCGAAACTGGTATCGCAGCACGCAACCGCAGCCTTTTCGTGGCTGAAGCCCGATGTTCGCGCGATCTCCCCTGCTTTCCTCTTCTCGGCCGCAGCCGCGCACCTCCGTCGCCGCCACTTCCCTTTGCGGGTGGCGACGAATGGAGTCAAATTCGAGGACGATCCTCTTCCACATTTAGGCCGTGCGAGTCCCACAAAGTATCGTTGCGCTGCTGCGCGATGGACTCGCATGGCAATTAGCCGGCGGCCTGGCCATCGCTCTCCATTTTCGGAAATTTTCGACCAGCACTTGTTGTGTTGACGGTCGAGGGAAGCCCGCGCCTTTTTCTCTCTCGTTCTCACTGTGCGACCATTTCAGATTTCGAGCAGCACAAGTGCGCCTCGGACAGCGGCACTTCCAGCGGAGAGCTAGAACACATGCTCGGGTGAGTAGCACTTTTATCTTTTCTTTCTCGTCGTAGACTCCTTGCCACAATCCGAAAATAATACTCCAAATAGCTTCGTCCATATTCCTTCATCTACATGAGCGCCCTCTCCCGCATCTTGAGAAAGTAACTATTTGATTACGATATTAGCGTCCAGTAGGAATACGCTTGAAATCTACTTTTTATCTCAGAGTGCGAATCCCACCTATTGGGAACCGTTGTTTACGAAAAAACTGGAAATGTTGGGAGTTTAACTCATGTCGCTGTAATCATGACTGGTCATAGACACAGGTTACTTGACCAAAATAGCGTCATTCAACTAAACTTTCGACTTGCGCTTTGCAGATTAATGTCAAAATGTCTAGAATGCGCAGTGAGGCGACAGCAGACGCGGATAGAGTGAGAGATCGAGTTTGGTTACTTAATGCTCTTGTGCGGGTTGAGTATGCGAGACTAGTAAGAGGGGGTGCTGGGCGCTGCTACTGCTATCTCTCTCCTCTTCGCTTGAACTCCTCGTGAAGTGGCTCAAAAAGGAAGGGAAAGAAGAGCGGCGCGACCTTGCGCCAGCGTAGAAGTCTTTGTTTCTGAGTGCGTGTGGTCAGCCAGCCACCAGCAGCCTTTGCCTTTCGCTCGCCCCTGCTCTCCGTCCGACTTCCTGTTGTGGCCTGCGGTGTCCAGTGTGCCGCTGGGGCTTGGACTCGCTGTTGACTTGGCACAGCCGACGGCCATTGCTCTGGCGTGACGAAGCTAGCGCTTTCTCCTTTTCTGCATCTATTATTACCTCAGCTATAGCCATTACGATGGCAGTATGGATTAGCACCCAAGAAGTTGAAGATACTTGCTTTTTTCTGAAACAGCGGATTTGCAATCCATTCACTTCCATGCGTATGGCGTGCTTGCATCGTATTCCGCTGCCAATTACTCGCTTCTTAATTGCTCGCCCCTTTCCGCGCCATCAACAACCCGTCAGAGCCGTTGACCCAACATAGGTTGATGGCCGTGCAGCTGCAAAAGGTTGACCAATCAACAATCTTCTTACTGGAATAGAGTCTAGAAAACGTGTGGCATTGGGTCACCTGGGGATTGCTCGGTACTTGGGGCGATATCTGCGAATCCCTGCAATCATGACGTTCCAGCAATGCGAAGAAGCGCTTATCTAATTCGTCCGCGGGCTCGTTTGGCGCAAGATTTAGCGCGCGCTCCCGTGGGGCCTGGCGCTGGTCCGAGCCGCGGAGCAGACGTGTTGATGCGGAGCCCGTGACCAGCCGCTGCTGCTTCTGGGAGTCCTTTCGAGCTTGGGAGCGACGTTCCGGCGCCTGCAGGCCATTGCGCAGTGATCTGCACTGGCGCGAATGATCTACGCTGGCGCGCGCTTGCCACCGCAGCCGGCTGGCAGTGGCCGGCTGCGGCTGCGGCAGACGGCGGTGGCTTCGCCGAATGCGCAGACCATTCATATATTGTTTGCAGCTCGTGGAGATCTTCACTTCGAGGAACTTCGCTTGTCGCCGCTCTCCGCTCCGAGCGTGTGTTTTGCCGTTTTCTAGCGAGTTTGAAGAGCGGAGAGCGAGTCAAGTAAGGCGGTCTGCTATCGATTGCCAAACGCCTTGCGTCTGCGGGCTGTTTGTGCTGATCTCGCAAATTTTTCCACTCACGATCCCTCCTATTTCACACTCGCTGCTCTGTCTCGTTTTTACCCGTTCCGCCATTTCGCAGAGCCTGCGCAATTTTTTTAATGTTTATCTGTCGCGCTTATCTGAAGCGTTATCGCCGCTGCCAGTTCCTCTCGCTCGAACCCCACGCGCTATATCTGTAGTGTCCTTCGCTCTGTGTTTATCTTTACAGTGTTTTGACGCCTCTTTTTCAGGATGAAGGAAGAGTCGACTGGGTGCCAAGGCCAACTGCCCGGGGCATGGTTCTACGAAATGGGTGACGACGCTTCCGCCTCGCCCACCTTTGATCTCGAGGAAATGGGTCCTTTCCGAGGTATTCTCAGCTCAAGGAACTGCTCTGAAAGCGTCGAAGTGCCGAGTAGCGAACATGTGGCCGAAATCGTGGGCAGACAAGGTTCGTTGACCGTTTTCCGCTCTATCACTGTTCCACATCGTTCTTATCTAATCCGTTCTGCGTTTCACATGTGTTTTCTTTCGACATTAGCCTATATTGAGAGACAATCAATATTTTCATGGAACATTCTTTGATATCGCGTTCAAACTGACGCGCGTAGTTTCGCGGGCATTTCAAAGGTTATCCATCATTTGTTTGTCGCTTTCAAACACCTTCTCTTTCATTGGGTGCGCCGATTCCGCTAAATTGTTGTTTTGCAACAGTGATAAGCAGCGCCTAGCCTAAATTTTTGCAAATACGTAGTACATGCTCCCATTTCCTATGAGGGTCTTTCCCAGCGTAAAATGATGACATTCTGGATCTGATCTACTTTTGTATGGAAACGGTGGTCGCCGGTCGTGTGTCTGTGTGAGCGGCAATTACCTCGGCTGCGTTGACGAGCTTTGGTCGTGCGCAAGTTGCTCTCCGTCCCTGGCTCCCGCCTTTATCGTCTGCGTCTCCGCGTTTTCCACTCCGCCCAACACTATGTCGCCCGCGACTCCGCCTCTTTTCCACTACGACTGTTGTAGAGCGCCCTGAGCAGCGACTTTGATCTTAACTGTTCGAAAACTCGTAGTAGAAGTTTTCTGTTGTAAACAACAAGCACACTCCAAGCGATCTTTCACACATAACAAGCGAGCGCCCATTCGTAATTATGAATTTATGATCATAAAACTCCTTTTAATGGGTAGCTGGGGGAATTGACGGGCTTAATGAACAAAGATCAGTGCTGCGCGAGTCAACCTCAGGTTCAGTACATCAGTAGTATGGGTAGGAAAAGAATCTGTCAGTATGGAGAAAGGAACCATAGCGCTGAATTAAAGAAGAACCACTATCTGGTAAACTTTGATAATAGGTGAGGAGCTATAGAGTAAGACAATTGAGTTTATGGTCTGTTTCGCCCGCTTTTGAGGAGGTTTCCTTCTCCTGCTGTCACAATTTCGCGAGCTCAATACCTCGCTCACTTCCTTGCCAAGAGAACTTGTTGTTTATGAGAGAATCGCTCGCGTGTCGACCGATTGTCTCGTATGACATTAGGAATAAATATTTACGCGGACAGATGGCGGGAAATAGTATTTGCGATGTAGATGAGGCCGACGAAGGCATGGGATTACGCGGCGAGTGACCAGCCGTCGCGACCATATCCAAGCTATGATGGTCGCTTAGCCGTCCACGCATGCGCTCTCTTGTTACCCGGCCGTCATCAATAGCTGTTGTTACTCGGGTTACGGTGAGGTCCGAAGCCATTAACTATGAGCCCGTTGTACCTGCTTTTGTTTTGGGCATTGTTTCAATTTAGCCATCAGTTTGCTTACATTTCGTTGGGAAGCTGATGTTTATGTCATGATAGGGGCTTTTCTTGGAGAACTGGTTTCTATGCTTTGAACACATAAGAAAGATATCCACGTGGCGCTGAAGAGGCAAATCTGTGACCGTGAAGGTATAAGCGGGCAATCTTCATTTAATCTCCTGATGGCTGATCTTCTCTTCGTAGCTGCAAGTGCATGCAGCAATGGAGTTTTATTTATGGAGCTAAGCGCTTTATTGATTTGTACTTTGACTTGAAAAAAATGTAAACGATAGCGTGAGCAGCGTGTACCCAACATTTGATAGATTAGGAAGTTGTTTGTGGAAATATTTGTCCAGGTGTAGCATTCAGCAACAGATATTTTAGGCTGCAAAATCAAAGCACTGCGGGCAAAAACTAACACCTATATCAAAACACCCATTCGAGGAGAGGATCCGGTCTTCGTTGTCACAGGAAAAGCTGAGGATGTGCTTGAAGCGAAAAGGGAAATTGAGTGTGCAGCAGAGCACTTTACGCAAATTCGAGCCAGCCGCCGTCATTCACACGGTACGCGCGCAGCGCAGTCATTATCAGTGACATGACTTGCTGTCGGGATCCTTTAAGAGGTGATTTACAGGTGGTGCACCCGCGCCTGGTCATGTCACTTTGTACGTTCGTGTGCCTCTTCGAGTCGTGGGACTTGTCGTAGGGCCAAAAGGAGCAACAATCAAGAGAATTCAACAAGATACTCACACTTACATCATAACACCAAGCCGTGAACGGGAACCAATCTTTGAGGTAAATAAATTTTTGAATCAAAGCCATAAGCTATGAATTTGTTTATGAGCCGTACCACGAAAACGATACTTGATGTTGCACTGTATTGATATTTTGCAACTTATCTTGCTTGCTATGGTGTACTAAAGGGCATAATCTTCAAGTGAGCTTTTTATAGGTCACTGGATTACCTCAAAATGTTGAGGCAGCTCGTAAAGAGATTGAACAGCACATCTACCAGCGCACTGGTAATATGCCCATGACAGATCCAGATGCTTCAATTTCGCAGTACTCAAGCTTGCAGGTATGAGATTGTTATTGTATTGAGCGATCTATTGGCCGAATTCACATCTTTTTTGCAGAATAATCTATCACTTGCCGCATCAGCAACGGCGGCAGCCCGTTCGGCATATGGCAGTTTGGCCCAACCACCAGTTCGACGTACTATTGGCAACGAGAATTTGCCTGACTATAGTAGAGTGCTAGAGAGAAATGGATATAGTGGACTTTCTTCATTGGTGGGCTTTTGTGGTAACTTTTGCAATATATCTCATCAACTTTTTTTTAGATGCGTTATCCACAGACGACAAAAACACCTTCGTACTCCGCTGGAGGTTCGCCTCCTGCCGTATCACCATCATTTTTCGGATCCTCTTCATCGAGTACTACGTCGAACGCTTTCCAACCTTGGTCATCAAACAATCTGTACACAGGTCTTGGACTTAGCGAAGCTTCAGGTACGGTGAACACTTTTTGTCTTGTTCAGTCGTCATTACCCAGGTCGTTTACGTAATCGTAGAACCGGTTTTAGATCTGTTCTCTACTCGTTCTTCCGTATTATCTGGTGCATCGCTATGGTCCTCTGGTTTTGGCTCAATGTCTTGTGGTCAGCAGATTCCGTCTAGCCAACATGATGAAGGACTCGGTGATTCACCGCCCAACAAGTGAGTCTGAAGATGGAAGAGATGTGGTGTTTAATCAGGATAATAATGCGTAACAGTCAACGTATCTTTCGTAACATATCTTGTAAAGTGAGAAGAATAGACATCAAGCATTGTTAGGTCGAAGCCTACGCAGATCATCTAATGCTTCTTCATAATTTAAAAAATTTATCGAGATTAACAGCATGCTTTTCATTTAAAAAAATTTATCGAGATTAACAGCATGCTTTTCATTTAGCCATCTAAAAATTTTTCTCAACTTTTGAGGGTTATCTCTAGATTGTTTTTGTTTATATTTAGAAATTCATAGTCAGTACCTGAAAATTTTAGCTATCAAGCCCACAAGATAACTCCGCATCTTGCAGTGTCTCGTCTACCGCTTACAATCTGATGTCGTCCATATGGGCAGATATTGATGCACCTCGTGAGCCGGAGTCCAAAGGTGTTGCGATGTTGACGGTCTAATCAGCTTTATCATTGACCACTTCGTTCAGCCGGAGGTCCGAGTTCGGTAGGCTACGGTGTTGTAAAACTGTCGTTGTGAATGCTTATTATACATTTTGCTGCCTACTTTCTTCCGTTCACCTCCATTTTTCAATCACGAGTACTTAGAGGGTCTTAGTAGTATTATTACATAACTAATATATGTACGTGTAGCGGCATGCCCGCCATCTTTTTCATTATTCTTCTTTCCTAACCATCTATGATTAACAGTTATTATTTAAGTCTATGTATCGAATATTTCATAATCATATATCTACAATCTACACATATATACCCAGATTACGTAAGAAATTAACCAGAGCTGTATGTAGACGGAGCGATTTATACTGCAAACGTGTGAACTGTGCTATCATTCCATTATCAGAGTTTATTTTATGCTGAGAGTCTATGGATCGCGTGCGCTGAGCGTACGCGGCTTTCCCCTTCATCCTTGAGCATCTTACTCATAACTGCCGTTTGTTCTTCTACTCCCCAAAAGAAAAGAAGAAAATGATGACCATTAGCAAATTTTTATAACTACATTTCTATTATTGAAGATTCTCTGAGTGCTTGATTCAGATATATCATAGCGTGACTCTATACATGCATTTCTGCGTATTTTGTATATTTTTTACAGAACATTGTAGCAATGACCAGCCCCGATCGTATTCTTTGTATCATCTTTACCATCACTGATTTCTTAATTTGTGAATTTCTAATCTGCATTTGTCGTGTTATAAATCTGAGGTATTTTGATTTTGTGTGCACTTGTGGTTGTGGTAGTGATGTTGTGTCGTTGTGCCGCATGTCTGAGACACAACTTGAAAAGATGTTGATTAGTTTTCACAATTATTTTGGGAGTCTGAGACCTTGTGGCAAGGTATGGCTTGTCTCATGATGACATTCCGTACACGTTAACATACAACTAGTGTAAAATTCGGCATAATCGTTGTACCATTTTCGCTTTATGAAAAGCAGCGCCATACCAATTATCCAAATTAGTTCCCATTCAAGCCTATCACAGCCTTTACATGATACCTGGGTTGCTTTTGGATGTAGAATTGGTCTAATTTTTGCGCGATAAATTGGAAAATAAGATTTTCTCGAACTGACTGGTTATTTTGTAGCATTCAAGTGAAAGCGATGTATCAAAGTGATTTCCTCGCAACTGCAAGTGCAAAGGCAATTCCAATTTCGCGCCAGTTATAGCAGTTGTACTTGCTGAAAAAATCGATGGCTAATTTTGAAAATTTATCCAGAAGAACGACGTCAGGCGATAAACTGTCCAGATAGTGCCTGCGAAAGAGTCTGAGAGTTAGTGCCGGCGGAGGCGCGGACGTTCACGGATTTGATGAGCAACGCTGAAACAGCAGCGTCGCATTAGAGCAATGCACTTTTTCCGTCGGGTGTTTGCCTGAGCATTGGCAGAGGGACGGACGCTCTTGGGGTAACGTGCTGCCGCTAAACCGGGGGGGGGGGGGGGGAATGCGATAGTGGATGGGGTTTAGTGCATGGACAAGGAAACAACTCGCTGCTGTCCAAGGATGGCTGATTACGCATGCACAACGTGTCGAATTAGCAATGAGCAGCTTGAGAAATTGGATGCCCGACATGATGCGACGAATATAGTCATCTTCAGTATTACCATTTGGGGAACGCGCAACCCCGGCACGACGTCGCGGCAGGCTCTCGTATTACGCTAGCTGTGTGTAGGGTGTTGCGCTGCAGCAGACGGGTAATTGGTGCGATTGCACAATAAGATAAAGCGCCTCGATCGAAGAGGAGAAATTTGCATGTTGCCAAGAGCGCGTTCGCCTGCTTTTGCCTCTCATGAGTCATGCTTTCCGACTTATTCTATTCGCGGGGCATTACGCTTAGTATCAGAATAGCGAAAGGGACAGAAATGCTCTTCTAGGGCTCCACGACAGGACAGGTGCAGATATGCACTTGAACCAATAAAATATTAGTTGTTCCGAGAGACTGCGCTGTAAGGTACTCTCCTAAGGCAAGCGAATTGGCAGAATTGGGTAATATAGTCACGCAAACAATATCTTTCTTGCTTTTTATGTTTCCCATGCGACAATTCTGCTGCCAGCGTGTTTCTTCGAAACGAATGAAGACAAGGCTCCCGGGATATTTCGGACAATTGCCCTATAATTAGTATTTGGTTTCCGAAGGATAGATGAGGTGTGGCGAATAGGGGTCATACTATTAGTATTTTGAGGGTTACTTTCGGGTGTTCTCTCATAAACTCGAGAGGCGGTGAACATCAAGAATGACTCCATCGCGAAAAAAACGATTTTTTTATGATTGCTCTAATAAGTGCTTGTGAGAACCCCCCGAGTCGCAATCACGCAATCATTGAGTTGCCCTTTTCTAGAATTGGCACCTATTCATCCACATATACAGGATGTTAGCAGCCGCGCACCGAGAAGGAGAGTTTGCAAGATTTTTGCAAGTTTTTTTTATCTACATGAGTTATGAAGCTACGCAAGCAACTTTTTATAATTTTTGGAATGTTTGCAAATCCAAACTCGCTTGTGACCATGCAGCCTTCTCTAAATTCAGGGGTGAGTCCGCAAAGTTTTTAAAGCATCCCAAAAATCTCGTTTCTGTCCCACCCCCCCCCCGAAAAAAAAATCCTCAGACCGCACTGCTCAAACTATTCTTTATTAGTCCGGAAAGCTTGCATAGTCCAAAAAAACATGCAATTTTTTATTCTAGCTGCTATCGTTCAACACAATCAATTCACGTGTGACCTTCGAATTAAGAGACCAAGAAACTAAATGAAAAACCCATCTAAAACTATATTTTTTCAGAATCGCCTCACGTCGTCAAGCAAGCTGTTCTCGCAATGTACTCGTTGTGCGTATATTGATAACTCGATATTTTTCATTCTTTATATATTTTTTCAAATTCTTACCCTCACACATCGCTTTATATTCGGGAGCCATCACCGCCTTTAACATATAAAATGAGTATTTCAAGCATCATTTATGATTGTTATAGAATATTTTGAAAGTTTAATAAGAAGTATTGTATACACGAGAAGATATGGTTATGTGTCTGATGGTGTTGTTGTTACGTTTTTATGCACTGAAATGTGTTGTTTCTTACTTGAGCCTACTTCTCTTTTCCGCTCTCACCCGTACATCGATCGAAGCTCGTGCCATGTCGAATTCGCAGGGGGCGAAACGATCCTGTGCGGGGTCGGAGTCCGAACAGCGACCCCTGGCTGCTGTGCGGACCCCGTGGAGCTGCAAGCCTTTCTCCCCAGCAACTCATTCCTCCCTCTTTCTCCTCGCTTTGATCTCTTGTTTTGTCCGCTACACTGGTCCATGTTGCCAACCCTCCGATTACGGTAACCGTGCATTCCTCATCGCCAAACCCACGCCTCGTCCAGAGTGCTGCGATGGCCCAACGACGCGCTGCTGTCGGGCTTACCCAGATGATTGTCCAGCAGATTTTTCTACCCATACGTCTACCCCATATTAAACAGAGTAACATATACACGTGTTTCTTGTATATGTATATGGAGACTACATACAGATATTCTTTACAGTAACTTGAGCAATATTGCCGACCGTAAAACTAGTGTGAAATAGTACATGCACACCAACCTCCGCGAATAAATGTTTTCTTACTTCGGCTTGGTGTTTTCTGGAAAAAGAACAAACGAATTAATTTTGTAGGCTTCCAGCTGCAGCATAGACGCCATAGATAACGTGGGCATCTGCTAGCCTTGTAGTTTTCATGAAAGCGTTGAGTAAGATTGATAAGCTCGTCACGAAAGTTACTTTGTTTTTTTTTTTACTTTTTTTTCGGTTGCTAGTAATATTTCTTAAGGATAGCGCATTACAAGGATATGATATATGGTTGTACTTTCGATGTTTGTAGTACGCAGTTACGCATGCGGGTACACAGGATTCCTGGGGACGCGTTCTGCTATTTCTCAAGTATTTTTTTCTTGTCTAGGGAAGGCCAGAAAAAGGCAAGCATATGCAGCATCCGAATATAAGCAAGGATTTTCGTACTAGTCTGTTACAAAATTCATGGCCCTCTATAATCAGTGGCGAGTGAGAGGGAGGTGCGGGGGAGGGGGGGGGGGGGATTTTGGAAAGTACTTCTATAAAGATTATTAAGAAAAATTTTGGAAAGATTCTTGAAAACATTTTGGAAAGAATTTTTTGGAAGAAATTTTGCAGTGAATTTTGGAGAGCACCGAGAAAATTTTTTCGCAGTGCGGGGCTAACGCCATGAACTTCATTTGTTCAAAAAATATGTCCCCCGCCTCCCGGACGTACTTGGGACCGGCACTGTCACACATATAATATACACCTGCCAACATTGGAATATACACTAGCTCTGTCTCCTGTGGCTAAGAAACCAGGGAAAAACTATAATTAAAATATAGCGGACTCCCAAGCACTCTTAGATCTTTCCTGTTCGTGCAGTTATTTACTACAAGCTTGCTGAAACGTCAGTATCAATCTATACACTTATATTCGTTCCAGTTTCTGAAAACATCAAATTTTGTTTGAACTAAAAAAGCTACGTTATTTTTGTAACTGATGATCTATTCAGAAGTTTATAAATTTTGCCTTCAAATTCTGTGCGATTCGTGAATTATGTAAATGGTTAGGGGTTGTCTTGTATTGCTTGCATTTCAAACGAATTTTTATCACAAGCTAATATCACAAAAAAATTACTTCTCATCTCTTAGTGTTCACGCTTCCATAGATTCAATATGGCGACCGCAAAAGATTTTTCCAAGCACCTCAGCACTCAGCTAATTCTTTACGACATTTGAAGCACTAAACAACCGTAGGCAGATCCCCTCCTACCAATTCATTTAAATAATATCACTAGCACACTTTACTGTTGCAAGAGCCGTAATTCTTACACTCCTTCTTTTTCAAAAACGACATTATACTAACGCTAGTGCAAAATGGAGAAAAAAGCCAATATTTCAGTTCTTTGTTCTGGGACAGTTTTGTGCGATATTAAAATGTCGCTCGTGTGCTGACGTTAGCAGAGATAGAAGTCATGATGAGCGCATCGAATTATCATATGCGTCTTCAGCACTAATCCGTCAAGTAAATGAATTCGCGTAGGCGACTTTTTGGAGACGAGACGTAACCTTTTGCCGAATAAGCAACTGGAATAGTTTTCAAACTCATCTTTAGTATACTGTTATTGTACTATCAATTAGGCAACGCTCAAAAGATCATCAGAAAAAGCGCTGCTTGAATTGCTGAATATATTGGTCGCCATTCCGCCGTTTCATAAATGATATAAGATTTTTCGCTATCTCAACGTATCTGTTTCATTTGCGTTTTTTCAGAAAGAAAATATCTGGTTTCAATCGCGTTTTGTCAAAATTTCACTACGAAAAACAACCGAGATACGGGCGGAAGGAAAAAGAAACTCAAACTTCCTTTTGAAATTGGTCACCAAGATTTTTACTCTCTTTTTTTCTCCTTTCTTCCTCTTTCTGCTTTTGATACCTCTACTGATCGGGGTCCCATCAGAAAATTATGGTTTTGAAAAAGTGCCAAAAATTGGTTTCGCGCCGTTTCTTCGAGAATTATACAGGATGTCCCAAAAAATGTGAACACAGTTTGATCGTTGCCAACTCCCTTGCTTTCATGTTTTTCGCCGAGCTTGAGGCACCATTTCATAGAGCAAGGCTCAACTTAGATATACAGTATGGAGCGAATCATCGATCGCCTTTATTACTGTAGGATTACGGTAGCAATTTTGACAAAGATTTTAGGCCATTGAAGGCCATATTCTGCTTCGAAACAAAACCAAGCAGGCCCAGAAACTCTTATACTATGGTATTGGAAGCCGCTGATTGTGAATATGAAATTTCCACTTTACTGTGATGCTTTTTTCCAAGGTTATCCCAGGTAAATCGTAATAACTGAATTTCCAGCATTTGTCAGAAAGGTGATTACACCGTCAAAAAAGCTAAAAACACTTATAGAAAAGTGTGTAATGGAATCAGCGTGCGCGAAAATCCTAGTACACGATTTTTCAGATTTTTTGAGAAAAATTTTGTCAAATGGCATATTTCACAATAGATCCACATGCTAGAAGTTCATACCGTAATCCTACAGTAACGAACACCTACCGGTGATTCGCTCACACTACAAATCTAAGTTGAACCTCGCTCTACAGAATGGTGCCTCGAGCTCGGCGAAAGACACGAAAGCAACGGAGTTATTAACGATCAAAAAGTGTTCACATTTTTTTGGGACACCCTGTACTTCCGTGAAGAGCCTAATAAACGCCGACTTTCTTCCATTGAACAGAGTGGTTATAAAACTTAGTGACTAAGGTTACGATTTTTTGCAATATTGCAGATTTACTCGACTTGCATGAAGCTTACGGCCTACTTCTTCCCTCCTGGTATCTGTCAGCTGTTCTAGAGATGTCATTAGAATCATGAGGCTGTTGAAGACTTCCAGCTGTTTGACCTTACTTCAAATGTATGTAAATAAGATGAAGTCCCTAAGGATACAGTAACAAGATAACAGATACAAGTAAACCTAAGGATACAGCGCATGGCAATATCAGTCAGAAAGGTGGTCACTGGGACCAAATTATAAAAAAATATGCATGTAACGTGACAATTTAGCCTATCTAATTATTTGTGCATTAGAAGGACGATGTGAGATTTATTTGCCTGCATCACGCATAGTTCACTCTCCTAAGCTAGTGATACAGTGTCAGCCGAGGCAGAAATGTCAAGCCTCCAATGTTCCCTCCTCATCTTCTCCTGAGTTCTATAAAAATTCAAAAATAGCTAAATTCATGCAAATACTGACATTAAATCTCTTTACCAGCTGGCATTTCGTTTCGCATGCGAAAATATATTTCCTAAGTTTTTCCACGGTGAGCATTTTATGGTTCAAATGAACGCAGTTACGCAATATGAGCAAGCCACTCATTTGCGATCTGGCTACTGAAGGAGGCCTTTTCGCTAAATTTTGAGCCATTTACTACGTAACAGTGGCTTTTATCTTCGGAGAATAAACATTGGGAAAGAGAAGGAATGAATATAAAGATTTGCATGCTTTATAGAAATATAATTTGCCACAAATACCCCGTAAAAAATTGAAAAGTTCTCAACCTGGGAATTCCATAACTTGCGTTGCATCAACCACGCCACCGCAAATATGAAGAATCATATATCAGTGCAAGCAAAAAAGAAACTGCATAATTTTGCCCGGGGCATTCGTTAAATGGAAATTGAGAATCGTCGCAACGCGGCGTTGACAGTAACCGCGCGCGGGGAGCAGTAGGGCAGGAAACTTGTCCATATCAATATGCCTGGATTATTAATGCTTTTTATTTCTTGCTAGTGTTTTATCTTCTTCAGTGTATGCCCTTTCTGTCTTTCAAGGGGCTGATTTTACAAGTTTTGTAGCAGAACTTCGAATAACTAGTCAAACTAATATGGGAATAGTCTGTAAACCTCAAAAAGAATGAAAAACCATGTGCTGCTAATCATGCTGGCCGAATTCTCCGCGTACGGTTACTGGCAGCCGCTCGCGCGCGACGTTTTCTAATTGACATCCACACCAACGCGCATCCGTTTTGCCCCCAAGGAAACTAAACTCTTAAATCGGGAATGAGAATGAAAAGTGGCTAACTCTAGGCCTAATTTTGGGTTTCCACATATAAGGTCTCCATACAAGCTTTTGGAAGCATAATCATAAATTTTCACTTTGTGCATCAGCTAACTCCCGAAATCGATCTATCAGCATAAAATACCTAAAAAACACATTTTAGTAATTCTGGCTAATCTTAACTCCATGGAAAAATTACGGCAGCTGTATATCGTTCAATGAGAAAAGTATAAGCACAAGCAGGTAAGAGGCATGTAGCGGATTTTTTTCTTATTTGGAGGCGGAGATCATCTTCCAAATATTAACATTTCGCTCTCGATTACGGATCAAATTTTATGATGTACTAGCTGTCAAATAAGGCTCTGCCCTTCGCTGTCAATAATATGTTCGTTGCCAGCATGCTCACTTGTCCCCTCCCCCTGTGCCAACTCCCAGTCCCGTAGCTCAGACTTTGAAAGAATTAGTAAAATCAATATCGATCAATAGGCAAAAGTAGCCTGCGACACCCAGGCGCGAAGTGTATGTGTATAGGGCTTATCAAACGCAGTGTCACTTGCATCAGCATCTCCACTCCCGCGCTGGACTTTGCATCTCTTCCGCGAACATGCGCTCTGATCACTTTCCCAGGGGGGAGGGGGGGGGGGGGTCTGGGAAAGGTGGAGCCTCAATCGATTAGTAATGATTCAGGCCTATGCATACCTCACGCGATTTTAGTCGTCGCGCGATTTGTCACTGCAACGACTTTCCATAGCTGGTCGTAAACGCACTTTGCTTGGGCCAGACTTGCTGTTACAATTTGTTACAATTTACGAAATCTACGCACCCATGCATCTGGCCTCGCATGCTTAATCTCTAGACTCTGGCAAATCGCCAAGCAGCGAGGATGTGGCGATTTCGCGAACGCAGGTATGCCTTAGGTCTAAAGGCATGTTCGCGGAAGAGATGAAGAGTCCAGCACGGGAGTGGAGGTGCTGATGCAAGCGACACTGCGTTTGATAAGCCCTGTACAAAGCTTGGTCCGTTGATAGAGAAATAAGAATGTCGGAACATACGTACATACAGACATACAAACATATAGGCACACAAACAGACATTTAGCTTATTTTATACAGATATAAGCCGCGTTATATTGCCTTCTTTGCTCCGCTGCAAATTTTTTTATTTTAAAGTCTTTTGAAGGTGTAAACTTTATGGTGTTTGTAAACCATGTTCTAGAGCTTTCTTTGCTCTGTTGCCTAATCCAACGAACACTAGTGAAGAAAGGGAATAGGATTTCATGGAGAACAAAGTTCATAACACACTATTAGGTTGTTGCAAACATGATATCCGTTTTTCTAGACCTATATTTCCAAACAACGTTTTTTCATCAGACTTTCTTTTTCGATATAGATTCTGCATATCACCGAAAGCTCTCTTCGTGTACTTTCTAATAGTGGCCATTAAGCTTTTATCTCAGCAGTGAGGATTTTTAAAACATTTTGAATTCCGCACTCAAAATCAGAATTTCATTGCTATAACATCTTGGCTACGATTCAGCCGATTCAAATAAACGATTTCTTATGAAAACATAGCTGCTGTATGGGATGAAAATATTGTTAGTATATTTAAAATTTGAATGAATTTTTCGAATATATTTGGACTGAGGAATCGATGCCCCAAAATAGATACTCGCTGCCTGGCATTCTATGAGTTGAAAATTTTTTTTGATCAAAGCAATCGCCGAAGCTCCGTTCATTCCTGTATGCCTGAGGTCAGGACCTCTTGCCTCCTATTTTTGCAGAAAACTTAGCTATTCAGGGATGGAGAGTTACAATTCATAGTTTGGGACTTTCTGGCCTACCAGGTCCTAATAGGGTAAAAAAAGTGAACATTTTGAGTTTTCATCTTTTCCTTTCGTAGAACTCCCACGTTGAAGTCTTTTCTATACAAAGGTGTACTACTAGCCTGCATCTGAATAAGCTGACTAGCAGCCATAGGAAAAACATGAAGGGAATTGTGATCCCTCAAAGACGAAGTTTTCTAAAGTGACGCATAGTTTTCTCCCCGTTTGCGAAAACAGTATTGGCAGGTGCGCGCTAGGTTACTGAAAATTTACCTTCTGATGGTCTTGATCGCATAAAAATATGAAGACTGAACAAAGTTATAACTTTTCAAATAGGAATTTGCAAAAAGAACAATATTTTCGCAGCAGCTTGATTCCACATTCGAGAAAAACTCTCAAACTTGGGTTACCAATGAATAAAAAGAAGTTGCCCAAACAGATTGGTTTTTCATTGCAACCATGTAGGTATGCAAACAAGCATTTGCGTTAACGTAGGCTTAGGACCGGAAGTTGTTCACTCCATGAAGCATAGTAGTAATGGGACGCTCAATGAGGAAAAAAGCAAAAAAGAAGTAGGATCTGTCCGCAGCTACTATTATCCAACAATGTGTTTGCATGAGGGATTTGAATTTCAATTTATACACAAGTGATTACGAAGATTTTTGGTCGCTAACCTATGCTTTTGATTGTCACATAAATGCCCATGTCATTCGCTTCAATCAACACCTTGTTCGCAAAAACGACAATACTGATCACTATTTGATTGATACCGTGAATCCCCTGGAGCACTTTTTATGCGCATGCAGAATAGCTCCCATATCAGCGACGAAGCTGCGAATAAAATCGAATGAATATACACACTCGCCTTCTCCCATAAGGGAACGGATTGATTTTGAAACTTCGGAGTTATGTAGTCAACGGCTCTTCTTCTATCATATGCGCTTTTGCCCCTTCTACATGACGTTTTGAAAAATCTGTTTTATTTCTTCCATAGCTGATTGGCGCCTTTGCCCGAATATTATTGTGCTCTAGAACTTTAGGTAGCTACAGCCAAGTGGTATTTCTCAATATAATGTGCTTGCGGTTCCAAAATGCGGCAAAATTTGAGAGTGAGCTAACCACATGCGTGTCAGACTTCCTTTGAATTGAGCGGCGACAACTGCGTCGCCAAATCGTTGTAGGTTACAGATTCGGTTGAGCGTTGCCTTAGGGAGTTTTCGACTCATTGAACGTCAAAATGTTAAAGGCAGCGTCCGGGCAAAATTTCAAACAAAACGTTTTTCGCTTGCTTGGGCTTACTCTTCCCGCTGATTCTGAAAGTGCAGCTTGGAGGGCACGAAAACGCCAAAAACGGACTTTTTCAGAAGCTCTTGATTTGAATCTTGTTGCCTGTCTCCAAGATTAAGACGCAGAGTCTTTGTGGGACCCTACGGTATGCGCACTCTGGCTTATCGAACTAACTCGTCCCGGTCGCCGGTGCGTTCCGGTCGCCACTGCAGCGGATTTCTCGCTTCAGAAGCAAATTGGTGCATTGCAGTTGGGCAAGAGCCTTACTAGGACGGGCGTCCCTGCACTCTACATTTTCGTATCTGTCCGGACGCTGGAAAAATCGAGGCGATGGCACTGCCGCGGGCTACACGCAGCCACCTCCGGAAACCGCATTTGATTTTCGTCTCTTCGAATGGTTTTTTTGCTAACGTACGATAATAAGTGACACTGGAAGTGACTGAGTGAGCGCTGAGGTGATTTCTTCTTAAATGAGCGTTTTATGCTCCTACTCAGACAGCGGATCGGACCCCTCCGCCGGAGAAATGGCAGGGTCGCGGCGTATCCCCAGCGGTGGGTCTCCCATTTGTCCGGCGGAGCCCTCCCATTTTCTGCTCCGGATACCTCCCATTTCTGCTCCGGATACCTCCCATTTCTGCTCCGGATACCTCCCATTTTCTGCTCCGGATATCTCCCATTTTCTGCTCCGGATACCTCCCATTTTCTGCTCCGGAGCCCTCCCATTTCTGCTCCGGATACCTCCCATTTTCTGCTCCGGATACCTCCCATTTTCTGCTCCGGATACCTCCCATTTTCTGCTCCGGATACCTCCCATTTCTGCTCCGGACCCCTCCGATTTTGTCCGGCGCGTGTCTTCCAAATTTGGCGGACACGCGCCGCGCAGACCTCTGCGGCGCGGAGTCCGTCAAATCTGGCAGAGTCGCGCCGGAGAAATGGCGGACCTTTGCAGCAGGGCCGGAGAAGCCTCCCATTTGCCTGCCAGTGATGCCACCGCGATGGACCGCCCATTTGCCCTTCTCTCATTGGTCAACTGGGTCCGGCGCGACCCTGGCAGTTTCCGAGGGTCCGGCGGAGGGGTCCGATCCATTGTCTGAGTAAGGGCGCGAAGTCCGCAGTCAAATCGATCGTCACAATTTTATAGATGAGTTATACCATTCTTAAAAAGCAGAAGCAGCACAGAATCCAATGAAATAACGAAATAATGTTTTTTGTTCTATTAAATGGCTCGAAGTAAGCTTCTCTGCTGTTATATTGTTATGTTGATTGTAAAAAGGTTTTCTTATTGGTTAAGGGAACTTCGTAGAATTTTGCAAAGTCATGGGGAAGTTTGTTTTCATATATGCTCCAAACCAATGCGTGTAAGGCCTAGCCTCATGTCGTGCACCTCTAAGGCAGTATCCGGGTTCCAAAGCCTTACAATTTGACGACGGTCCCAAAGCTGAGACATAGAGTCGCTGCGGTACCCGACGTTTTTGACTGTGGCGGCATGCGTATCCTGCCGCATAGCAGGAATCCAAACAGGTTGGAGGACCCCGCCCCAAAGCGTAAGTTTTCCACTTCCCGATCGTTTTTCTTGCTCTAGGTCAAACGCTATAAGCTCGCTTTTCCGCGGGGGTGTGTCTGAGGGGGGTCATTTTCGCATGCCACTGAAATCCCAAAACCTCCACATTGTCCAGACACTGCCTTCAAAAACAGTGTCCGGGCAAGGTAGCTAGCCGTCCTAACATCGCTACCGGCCAAGTGCGACTGTTTTACTTGTAACCGGACGTTTCGAAAGCTGGGAGCGTGAACTCACAGTGGGGAGGATCTCGCCCACTTGCTGAATTCCCTACTGTGTCAGAACCGTTTTTCGCCGTTTTCGCGCTCTCCAATGTGCATTTTCGGATTCAGCGTAGCGAATAGGCTCGGGTAAGCACAGAATCTCAAAATTTGTTTTGAGGCAGGTTAAAGGCACTGTCTGGGCAAAAAGTTTTTGCCGAGACAGTGCTTTTAACACATTGACGACAACGTGACCCACATGGTGGGTCATGACTGCCACGTGGGACAATGTGACCCACATGGTGGGTCACGGCTTAAATTTTGTTAAAATGACTGCTATCTTGGACTACAATCGTTTCAAAAGTTTTCAAACGCTCTGACCCTAGAAAATACTCTTGCGTTTCTCATCCGCCTTATAGAATTACTGTAGGTATACTGTAGTTGACGATCTGCATGATTTTAGCTGAAAATTTTCGACTTTTCTGTGAAAGGCATTGTCCCACGAGGCAGACAACTAAAAATGCACGTTGTCGTCAACGTGTTAACATGACACGTAGCAAGGGGGACGTGGTCGAGCAGTGTCGGATGCCTTTTTTTACGCAGCCAGGGTTACGAAGTCATAGAGACAATCAGCAAAAAATGTGCATTCAAGGAAGCTAAGGCTGATTTTGAGACTGCTTTTCCTAAACGCAGAAGCCTACCGTCATCGAAATTGAGCACTAATCTTTCTAGCGTCCAAATGATAGTAATGGGCACGAATATGATACACTGAATGATTACTGCTACTTGAAGTATCTTGATACTCGCTACACTCAATTAAAGGTAAATAGGTTGTAATCTTTCCCAGCCCTACGTTCATTTCTTCCAGTCCAAACCGTAACTTTCCTTCTCAGAAGTTTGTAGATGGGGGGGGGGGGGGCAGCTTTTTAATCATCACTTTACTCTCATTGACGTAAAGTTTCCAATGATAGCACCTCAGCTTCTTGGATCCCAACAGTTCGTCGCGCGATTGCTGATGCGGAAACAGATCAAATTTAGATAAGGCATTTAAACTATGACACTTCAAGACCTCGGCAAAAAGATCAATTGCTTGTTAGTTTACGACACCAAAGCGTTCAGCACAATTTATTTAGTAACAAATATCAAAGTAATAGTCTTCAGCATGCTGCGGAGTATGAATGGGTGACAACAGATTAGAATCATTCCGGTAACTCTATTTACATCCATGATTACACGCGGTATAGACCGCTAAGGTTTGAAGATTGTTTTCAAGACAAAGTCAAGAAAAGGAGTTGCATAATCGTATAAATGCACTTTGATAGCGACCCAAAATAGAATGACAAGCGTGGTGGGCGAAATCAAAACTAGATCCGTATAGAGCGATTATGTTTCTAGAGGCGAACAAAACCGAAATCTTGAACTTCGAATGTTGGATAGCATGCACAGCAACTATCTAAGCACAGAATCAGCTGATGTTGGTACGGCTTGTAGAGCCGCTCCTCTAAGAACAGGGATTGAATCAATGAAGCTATCGGGAAGTTCCTTTATTGCGCTCTCGGGTCTAGCTTCTCCGACATTATCTTCAGTCTCACCCTCGGCTGCAAATGGAAGATCAACGTGATCTACTAATAGAAAAACCAACGGTTATAGAAATCAGGGTACTTTTCCGTTATCCGGACCCATTTTTTCAAAGAAGCATATTGCTTCTTCCCTCAAACCATATTTGGTCCCGACTTCACAGGAAGGAGTGTCAGCATTCTGCCACGTGTCAAAAAATTTGACATGCCATTTACATGTTTAACAGGTTTAACCAAGAGTTTGAGTTGCCCTACTTAGCGACGTGAGTTCAATATGTTTATTAGTCAATAGTGGCCCCATTTTCGATTGAATAGTATCAAAAAATGAGCGTTGTTATCACAATAATGTCATTCTGTTATTAATCAATCAGATTAGACTTGCCCAAAGTAGAGAAGTGGACTTGGATTTTATCATCTAAATGACAAAACAAGCAATGGCGAAGAACTTCAAGCCATCATTTATATTCTCGTCTGGCTAAATTCGCAAGACGAAAAGTTTGAAGAGAGAGACAATGCTGAATGTTGCTGAAAGTGAACAAGATGTTCTAACATAAATTTTAGATTGTTTTGCTTTCATATAAAACAATTAAACAGCTTTTAGGTGATCACAAATGCTTTTTTTACCTCACCGGAAGTGATTTCGAAAAAACATGTCAAAATGGACCAAAACGTGTCAATATTTTTCTAACACGTGGCAGAGAGACAGTCCTCCTGGAATCCATAAAAAATTGTTCTTGGACTGAAAAACGCATTTTATGGGAGCTTTTTGGAAAAATGGGTCCGGATAACGGAAAAGTACCGAAATCAGTTAATTCAGCTAGTTATTTCGAAAAAGATATCATTTCTTACACTCTATCAGCGTAATCGGGCTTCACTCAGATTTCGATTACCAACGGGATTTGAGCGATTGGAACGCTTTTTTTCTACGCGTTGGATTTCAGTTATTTTACTCCTTACTCCTAACGATCTATATGTTCCTGCGCCCCAATTTTGGCTCGAATAAGCCAAAGGCATTATGAAAACAATCAAAATTTCTTGATATTACATTTGCATTCACGATCTAGACCTAAATACAAAACCATGGAATCTGAAGAGGTGATGTTCATTGAACCTGATTACAATCATAACCAGTACGCTAGCCTAACATGTGCATTAGATTGCATTAGTCGGGTAAACCATAGAAAAAAGTTTCAAACATTGGGTCGACTATACTGCTCACAATTAGCCCGTTACCCCCTTATTCAATGTCCCTTTCAAATTCGAATTTGTTTAACATATAAATGAGCAAGCACGTACTATAAATTTCTGAGAAGTTAGCGTTACATAGCAATGGATGAAAAAGAATCGCTGCAGAGCAAATTTGTACGAAAATTTTGAAAACTATCAGCTGCTTGCGAAGACAAGGAAAGACGAGCTCAGGAAGCTTTTCTTTCTGCCATTCTTTTTCTATTTACAACACGCGCATCATGTCGTAAAAAAAATAAGAGACTTCAAACCTCACCGTTGCTCTCTTCGCCAAGCCCTCCTGCCATGTTCTCTCCTGAGCTACCTGCCTCATCAATACTTTCACCATCATCAGCATTTGTGTCCATTGCGACATCCATCTCTGCAATAAAGAAAAAGCATGCCATGCTGCTAGACCATGTCTATTCGGAAATTCAAAACAAAACACAAAGACAGCCTGAGACGAACCTTCATGTTGGGAGTGAGTATCCATGCAATTGGAACTACAACCTTCCGCTTGTAAAGCAGAGCCTGCGTCTACCCTTCCTTCGTCTATTGCGGCAAAGTTAGAGTTACAAGATAAAAACATGAAAAACGTACCATTTCCTTCACAGGGATTTTTAGCTTCCTCTTTAATTGACGATTTTTTCGCAACCTCCTTGTTTGTTGTAGCATACTCATCTACCAACATTCTCACAAAAGTGGTTGCCTGGATGAGGAAATTTGGACTTGCCCAACGCTAACAATAAAAACAAAAAACTGGCTACTTACGCGTGCGTGTACTTCCTCGAGATCACATAAATCAACTTTCGCATACAATTCTAGGAAGTCTTGTATCATAGATGCAGCACGACGAGGACGCCCGCGCCGATCAGCATTCATCACAAACCTGATTTATAACTATTGAAAAAAAACCAGAAACACTTTGCCATACTTGTCAAATGATTTCCTGTTCGTTCTAGGAGTCGAATTTGCGCCATTTTTCTTCGGCCGCCCTCGTGGTCGCCTGCAATGGGAAATGTAACGAAATTTGAACAAACGTTCCTTTCCTACCCAGCTTTCTCTGGATCAGGCACATATTCGTTTTCCTCCTTTTTGATCGTTTTGGGTTTGCCTTTCCTCCTGAATTCTCGGATAAGAGCAAATAAATACAAGACTGAAACTAACCTTTTATATGGTTGTCGTTTGCGATTAATCGGAACTGTGTCAGTGCCACCATCTTCCTTAGTTGGCGTTGCAGACGACGATGAATGCGCTGGCAACGAAGATAAGGGGCAGACTTCCGCTAGTATCCGCTGTACAACAGCAGCTTCGTTCTCAATGGTTCTTGGAGGTGAATTCACTCTCAGCGACGAAGGAGGACATACTTCTTCTAGAATACGCTTAACAACAGCCGCTTCCTCATCAGGATTCTTGAACTCCTTGAATTTCGAATCTTTCCGTGCGGTCAGTACTACACTTTGACGGTCTTGCACCAACATAGAAGTGCCCTCTTCATCATCTTCAAGTCGCCCATCCGTGCTGCCATATTTGCGAAATACCATTTTATCGAAATCGGCAGGCTCCTGTTCCGATGCATCTACGTCTCCAAATAGAGACACTTCGGCGTTTGGTAGCAAGGCCCTAGGAGCGGCTTCTACGTCGAGATGGTCCTTGAGTATGGGGAGAGAAGTAGGCATGGGGAAGAGTGGGGCAGCTTGCTTTGGCGATACCACGGCATTGTCAGTCATGCTGCCATCCTTAATACAGTAATTCTACACAAGAGGTGAGATTGCGTAGAACTTTGTAAGCACGAACTACTGAGTCGAACCAAAATCCTGTTTATTAGTCTACATCTTAAGTTGTTTGAGATTTTTCTCTTTTGTTTTTGAAGGCTGTGATGTTGAGGACACTTGTTTCAAAGAAAGATTGTGATTTTCTAAGGCAAAAAGAAGAGTGCGTCTGTCTCTTCAACACAATCTTCAAAACTTTTGTTCTTGCCAACACAATCGTTATCGATTTCTTAGAGTCTCAAAATGATTTCAGGTAAAAAATTCGTAAAATGACTTGGAAATCAGCCTAGATACTAAACAATAAGTTTACCAAATCAAACTTCTCTCGGAAAAATCAAGGCAACTTTCTTGTCAAAAGTAAGATTGGTGAAAGGATAGCTTTGCCAATTTCTGTTAATCTATTAGGTTTCAAAAGAATTGATGCAGGTGTTCCATACCTCTTTTTGGAGTGCTGGTTCGAAAAAACCTTTTTGTCGAAGAGTTTTGAATATCATCTAGAAGCTCTTCCTTCTTTCTTACACATCATTTCGCTTTGATACAAGCAAGATCTTGAAAATTCGATGCCGCTGAGATTAAGGGATCAAATCTTGAAATTCTTCCATCTAGCACTCTTTGCTCAAACACCGAAAATCGAAATTTTCTGCAAACCCTAATGATGTTTGTGAGTGAGCTGTGCTACAAAGTGCATACGAATCATGACTTCTAACAATAAGCTGTTTAAGTCAAGGAATTTTAAAGAGACTTGAACGGTCACTGTCGTCTTTCTGCCCTTTATGAAAATCAATTTTTGGCAATTTTTTGTTCAGAGAATTCGAAAGAAATGAGCACTTTCAAACTTTTTGACTTATTAGCCAGCAAAATTATATTTGAGGAAATTCAAGCTCAACTAAGGGCTACACAATGAGTAAAATTCTCGCTATTTTACTGAAATTCAAGGTAAGTTATGGTTTTTCGGAGTAAAGATTTCCCAAGAAAACTTCTGGGAATGCTTGGGCTATAAGATTTTTCTCGGCGAAGCTGCGACAACACAACAGTGCACACTAAATTGCCAAATGTTCATTATGTGTAATAGTTCTATTGCATATTAGACTGTATGTGTAAAGTATTATAGTGATTCAAACTCAAATTTAAAAACCCACATTGATTCTCTTACAATCTGATAAAAATCTAAAGGGTAAGCTAACATTTAGTAGATTGAGAAGCTATCAGGTACGACAGATTGTATCATATGATATTACGCGGGTTCTTCTCAGCATTGTAAAGAAGAGAGAGAGAACTACCGAGTGTTATTAAAACAATTTAAGAGAGCGTCTACTCATCGTCAGAGTCGAATGATATTCAGTATTCAAAAGGTAAGATACACAAAGCTGTTTTGAGTAAAGAAGTACGTGAAGAAAGGGAATAGTGCAAAACTGCAAGCCAACACTGGAAGGTCAAGAGCAATTCCTGATATGCCTATTGAAGAATCAAAACTCGGTCACTTTCTCGAAAAGTTCCTGAAGATCTTGATTCGACTATTGCTGTTTCACATCGAATAGATAAAAACTGATTTGATGCAAGTTTGATCGCCAAAAAAGTTTTTGGTGAGAAAGATGTGACAAGGATGTGCGACTGTATGGGAAAGACAAATAGCGTAAGTATTGTAAGCGTATGTAAAAAACATACTTGCGACATAGCGCCGTTATCATGTGAGATAGTGTGTTGTGTTTCTGTTGTTGTAGTCATATTTGATGAAGAATTCGGTGCACATCTGTAAAAAAAGCTATCACTAAACACCTGCTTGAGCTAAAGGAGATCTCACTACCGTCAAGTTATTGAGTGACTTCAAGTAGCTGCAACAATTTATATGAGACCTAACCTATTCCAGCGAACGTAGATGGAAATTGCAAATTTTTACCGAAGCGGAAATAAACATGGAAGAAAGTAGAGATTGGATGACTCTAAACTGTCTGATTTAGGCTTTATATGTGACATTTAACATTTAAAAATAAGCAATAGGAGTTGGTACCCCATGTTTGGCAGAATGTGAGAGAAAAAAGTTCGTTATTCTACAAATCGACGCTGCAAACAGCTGGGCTCTTATAAGTAAGCGACACCAACGATAGTTCCATAGTTTGCTAAGCGATCTGAACAGTAAATGCTGGAATTTTAGAAGTTGCTCGCCCAAAACAAATCATACATACGCAGCTTCTCAAACAAGATCGCGACATAAAAAAAACACGCCCATGTGACTTAATTCACAATCAGATAACGGATGGGTGGGTATGTTCTCAAAATGGTCGGTAATCAAAATAACAAGATGACAGTGGCAACCACACAATAAAACGTACTCTGGCGATTTCCTGTGAATTGGTGGTCGTCCACGGGGTTTCGGCTTGTTTAACGCAGCACTGCAAGCGTGACTGTCAAAAACAGATTAAACTTCACACCAATTCATGTTAAACAATGATCAAGTTATCTTGTAAGTCCTCTTATCTTTGAAACTGGGCATGGTTTCTCTTGGTATAAACAATTTCAATTTACTCTGCTATGCCGTATATCACTATAACTGGCACCTTTTCAGCCTCTGAAGACGGCGTCCTGCCGAAACGTCAGGCAATAAAGTTCTATCACTATTAACAACCTGCATCCGGCATAACAGATGGAATGATCAAGTTGTCCTGCTTGTGAAAAAATTGAGAACTATGAAAATGGCAAAAACAATTGACGACATGAGCATGCAACGATCCGTGAACGTATATTACGCATGATTACCGAGATACTCACATTCTAGCTGCTTCCAAGGCATCAATCTCTGCTTGTTCTATGAGTTCAATGGCAACATCAATAGCTGATTTTGGCACAGAAACTTCACTCGGACTAGCTTCATTGTTCGTACATGCAATCTCCTACAAAAGTCGTAAGACCTGAGACTCGATCGAACCCTGAAACTTTGCGTACCTCTGTTGTATGATCAAAGGTGGACGGACTGGAAGTTTGATTGTCGGAGTCGGGCATAGCGCCTGACTTGACTTTGACCGCAAGCGAATTCTACAAGAGTAGATTTGGCACCTATAAAAGAAGGAATTGACTCATGGTGCAATGTCCAAATGGAAAAAGATAATTGGAGCTTGAAAAAGAAAACCCGCTTAATTACTCTACTGCATTAACTGAGAAAGAGACAACTTTAGTCTGCACTCTTGCAATAGCTATATGCCTAAATCTGACAATGCTAAGAATGTAACGCATTCCCGCAACCTTTTCAGATTGATATTGTCCATTATAGTCGGGCTAAATTCACATCAAAATAACAAACTTGAACAAAGATGCCAGATACCAGAAACGAGAAAAGAATCAGGAGCACTCATAGGAAGAGCTTATTTCCAAGGCGTTACCAGAGATAATCATACGACACATCACCAGGGTTTCAAGCGCAAGGAACTTTGGTCACACAGAAACAAAAACTTTCGCTAGAAGCGTGTTAAAAAACACACATGCATTTGTTTAAAAAAAATTACGCTGAGGCGATGCAGAGCACATTGAACGCTGCTCAGCACGGTGTCCGCAGTTGCGGATGATATTCCCATTTGTCCCCTAAAGCACGCGCCATACTTGATCCGCTTCATTCACTTCGTTAATGATCAAATCAGCAGAGAAACAAATGGCGAAGTAGATCATGCAGATCAAGCGGATCAAATGGATATCCGCTTCGCTACCAATCAACTCACTATGTGACCAATAGCGAAGTGAACGAAGCGGATCAAGCGGTAGGGGGGTCAAAATCACAGATCGGCCTAAAACCTTGTCTAGCGCGGTGGTTTGGTACGCTGAAAACGTATAACATATTCATTTCGTAAGGTAGGGCCATTTTCTCGGGTTACGATGGGTACACGGTAAATGGGACAAAGCTCAAAATTTACTCAAAAGTTTGCTTAAGGTTATTTCATCCTGCAGTCGCTGTAGCAATGACAGTTAGGCCCGGCCAGACTTCGCTCGAAAGCGCCCAAAAGCGCCTAAAAGCGCCCAAACTTGCTCCTGAAGCTGGAAGAGTGACGCCACTATGTGAACAGCCCCGCCCACCTGCAATTTCCCTTCTCCGTTAGAGCCTTTTTCCACCGTTTTCGCGCTCTCCAGTGTTTATTTTCGATTCAGCGTAGCGAGTAGGCCCAGGTACGCACAAAATCTCGAAATCGACTTCTTGCTTGGACACTGCCTTTAACTTGCCTTCAGTATTCAAAAATCGCCCCTTTTTTAGTATGAGTATTGAGCGCAAAGCCTCTTCTTGCTATATTGAAATTTGGAGCCAAACACGCCATCCCTGCGAAAAGTATAGCTCTGAAAAGAGGGCCGTCCAGATCCAAAACTTGCTCGTCAAATTGCGTGCAGTTGTGCAATCGCAGAAAGCCGGGCCTACAGAAAATAGAAACCTGCACTGAAAGGGGTAGGGGAACGAAAGCCGCCAGTCTGAGCCGCCTTTCGCGGCTAACTGGTCCTTTCGCAACGTTGTTGCATGTCGTTCCAGGACCAGCAGTCCGCGCAGGCGACCGAAGCTGGCGGCTTTCGTTCCCCTACCCCACTAAAAGCTGGTCTTCTTCAAAATATAACACCCTGAGGACGTAGAGGTGAAGCGGAGGGCTCGTTTAGGGGCTTTCCACAGGGGGGGGGGGTCGTTTTTGAAGGACTTGTGCCTGACCTCTTGTTCAACCCTGGTTATCTGTCATGCTGCCCGCAGACATTTGTCGTGCTCATTTGCACGCTTTTGGGGTCTGAATTGCTGAAAAGGGGAGAAAGTGTTGATTTGCACATCGTAACTCAGTGTAACTCCATAATAAGGGATCGTTCATACCGCGCACAAAGGCGGACGAAGGCGGACGAAGCCGGACAAAGCCGGACAAAGGCGGACGAAGGCGGACGAAGGCGCGTCTTGTCTCGTCTCGTTTCTCTCGACACACACACACTCACACATGCCTTCGTCCGCCTTTGTGCGGCTTCGTCCGGCTTCGTCCGGCTTCGTCCGCCTTTGTGCGCGGTATGAACGATCCCTAAGGGTTGTTGCAGCGAAGAAGCATGATATTCGAAGTCAGCATGCTCAAGAATCCCTTTAGGCAAAGTTTTGAGCGCATTCGAAATTGTGACCCGCCCACCCTATACCCACCGTAGGAGGAAATGGCGCTACCGTATGAGATGAATATGATGTTCGTGTTCAGCCTGCCAATATCTTCCCCCCCCCCTAGACGGAGTTTCTCACAAATCCGTGGTTTTGACCTCTACCGTAATCCCACCGTGACCCCACCATATGGCATTACTGTGCAAAACGAATGTGATCTTGAAAGCGTGCAAGCTAAGGGTGCCTTCATACCGCGCCGGCAGCCGCCGCTAGCAGCCCGTAGCAGCCGCTGGCAGCCCGTAGCAGCCGCCAGCAGCCCGCAGCAGCCGCCAGCAGCCGCCAGCAGCCCGTAGCAGCCCTTAGCCGCCGCTGGCCGCTTTTGTTATAGGAACGCAAAATCAGTACTTGAGAATTTTAGTACTCCTGGCTACTCTTTTCATTTTCCAAGCTTTTCCTTCTATTGTCAGCAGTGTGTAGTTCAATTCACATATAATATTTGTGCCCATTTCATTACCTTGACACCGTTTGGTTCATCCTTTGAACCATAGTTCGCAGAAGTTTCTTTCCCTTGTGATTCCCTCTGACTTTGGCGTCCATTTTCTGCAAATTTGCAATTTGTTTACTTTTTGAGTTTGCTTTTGCTTCAATCTTCTTGTTAGATATCGATGCATATCCAAACCGCATTCCACTATTTCGCAGGTTTGCGAGTTGATTCGCGCGGTGGGTTCTTCTGACTTTGACAATCGCTCGCAATCGTTATGACAAGACAGATTGAAAAAGTGAAATGTAGGCACCGACAGGAGGATGCAAATTGCGGCAACAGAACAATGGATCAAAAGTAATGGGTGAAATCAAGCTCACATTCGCGGCAACAGAAGAAAAAGCGTACAAGATGAAAAGCGTAGGTAAAAGCAATTGAAGTAGTAAGATTCTGGTGGTTTTGTCGAGACGCAGACTAATTAGATGGTCCGGCAGTCCCCACGCCAACTGGGCGGTGCCCCAGCAACTCCAGATGAGCTGCCTAACCGGGTGACCGGCGGTTACCCTTCCCCTTTCCTTATCGTATAAATATATAATAAAGATTCTAGTCATAAATGTTATGTTCATATAAAGTAGAAGAATCAGGGTGAAGGATTCAAGTCAAGAGAGTGCACCTCTTGGACTTGACATGGAGGTCCCGGGTTGTTTTCTTTTTATGACTCACATTTTTCTTGAATCAATCTTCTTTGATCATTTTTTCATATAAAAAATTTTCTTCTTCTCAAAAAAAAAATTCAAAAAATCAAATCAGCATAGATTTTGGCCAGATCTTTTGCAAACTCCCACCGCCGGCACCAGCCCTCATCTCCTACGTATCTGCATAGCTATTATCTCCTATCTTTTCTTTGTCACCTTATTTTCTCATTTTCTTTTTTATTTCTTGAGTCAGGCGATGAGTTTGAGTTTGTATTCATATGATAATCTCAATTAAGATAACATTTTGCATATATTGATATTCAATTATTTTTTCTTGCTATTTCCGAGCCGTGATCCCCCGAGCCGTGAAAAAGCGAACCGTGATTTTCCCGACGCGATCTTTCTAGATGAGTCCAACTCTCTAGATTGAGAATCCGCGAGCCGTGAACTCCGCGAGCCGTGATTTCCTAGAGCCGTGATATCCCGGAGCCGTGAATCATTGATATTTTCTTTATGTTTTCCTTTCTTTTCAACTGGGAAACCCCAGGTTTTTTTTCACGCGCACATACATAACTCAATGACTCTATCGCCACAGCCGGCATTGTACATATGTAAATAAGGTCTCGCAAGTGGAAAATGCACTGTGAACCAAAATTTTTTTCCCTTTCCAACTGTCACTAGTGGAAAGACCACTGTGATAGCATTTTTTGACTCTCGCAAGTGGAAAACGCGCTGCGAGCCTAATTTTTTTTCATAACTCTCACTAGCGGAAAGACCATGTGAGAGTACTTTTGATTCATAATTCTCACTAGTGGAAAGACCATTGTGAGAATGCTTTTATTTTTATGACTTCACTAGTGGAAAGACCACTGTGAATGTACTTTTTCCCGCTCACTAGTGGAAAGACCACTGTGAGCCCATTTTTTTCAATTTCTCACTAGTGGAAAGACCACTGTGTGCCTTACCAAATTCAAAATTAAGTCCCACTAGTAGAAAAAACTACTGTGAGTCCAATTTTGCTTAGGGAGAGTTTCATGATTATTTATCATGATTGCCTGAGGAAAATCGACGGGCTATCTAATAGCCCGCGGTTACTTCCAAAGGCTACGCTCCCAGTCCCTTATTTTAATGGCTAATCACTCAAAAACGAGTGACATTTAGCCGCCAGAAGTAGGCACATGCAGCGGCAGTGCCCTTTGAACCTCGTATCCCATCGACGAATGTCTGGGCCAGAGGTATGCGGCAATTGTTTGATGCTGATTAGCCACCTATGGACTCTGGCTGGATCAGCATTCTTATGGAAGCGAGTACGACTGGAAAGAGGTATCCGTAAGGACTCCTCGAAATGATATTCTCTAGGGAAGGACCAACAGAACTCATGAAAAACTTTCCTACAACTCTACTCGCACATCCATAAGAGGTATGCTTTTCTAGTCCTTGTCTATGTTTTTCTGATTTACCCTTTCACGCTTATTTGAAAAAAAATTCAAAAAAAACCAACATAGGTCACCCATGTTTGAGTCTTTGAGAAATTGTGTAAGCCAGCCATACCTCACTGACATGGCAGCATGACATAAGATTGGGTTTAAAAAGAATCTCATAGATAATTACGATGACTAGCCAAATTCGCTAATTCGTAAATTCGTTTGGTTGTCTGCCAAGAGAATTGAGGCAAACTTACCAAAAATGAGTCTTTCTCCAGAAAAAAAATGGTATTTTCAGAGAATACCATGCATTTCAATGAGTTCTCGAAATTGAGACTATATAAACTCTCATTTTGAAGTGTGACTGATTTGCTCAACCTTCAAAAAACAGGTGTAATATTATCTTCAAAAAAAAATTCAAAAACGATTCCTTGTAAATCACGTATTTGCAGTTGCAAAGTGACATTTGGAAAAGCTGCCACGACTCTCGAAAGCATTTGCTCTCGCATTCTCACCAAGCACTCTTCTCTTTTTTCTTTTAGAAATTGCTTTATTCTCCTAAAAAGGAACGGTTCCCTGCGCTAAATTCGATCATTTTGACCACATAATTTTGTCTTCTTCCTAAAAAAAATGAGAAAGACAATCTTACTCAAATCTGATTTTGTGCAACCTTCATCAATCTTACTCAAATCTGCATTTTGTGCAACCTTCACATCATCGTCCTACATCATTTCATCTTTAAGAATTTATTGCAATTCATAAAAAAAAAGACTTTTGCTAATTTGTATGAATTTGACTACCAATCC